AAGGAGGAGTGGTGAGGGAAAGTTTTTTTAAACAGAGATTCAGAAGAACAAAATTGAAAACAAATTATCATACTGGCTGGGGAGCCCAGTGGTAGAATGAGTGCTTGGTACACACAAAGCCCTATGTTGGATCCCCAGCACCACACATACACACATAAAAAGAGATTACTACAAGTACAAAATTGGCACTGGAGTCTGGTTTGGGGATTTGAAAAAGTAAAAAGCATAAAATGTGTATGTGTTTCCTGTTAAAGCTTTTATTGAGCACCTCCTGTATTTGCATGCCTTTAGAATCCTGATCATTACAAGTAAGCTTTAAGGGTCAGCAGGTGAGGGGTGGGAAAAAAGAACAAGAGCTGCAGAATCCGAAGTGCCCGGAGCTCCTTTTTCTAGTGAAGACAGGAAAGGGAAAGGAGGCTGTCCCAAGAAGACCAGCAGTGTCCCAACTGGTACCCACTCCCAACACTGAGCAGTGGTTTGCAGCATCCTCTCCAAACATCTGTCCTGTTACGGCACGTCAGTCCACAGCTGGCAAATGTTCCTTTGGTTTGTGCCAACACAGTGACAATGTCCTTAGGTCGTGGGTAAAGCACAGATTATATGCTTAGCTGGAATGGAAACCACATTCTTCTGCAGTGCGGAGGGGCAGCCGCTAATTGCTCCCTGGGGCATTTCTTGCTCAACATCTCCCCAGGCTTCCACCTCCTCGCTGACACCCAACCTTAGGACTGTGCTACTCAAAGTGTGGCCCCAGGCCAGCAGCGCAGCATCACCTGGGAGCTTGTTAGACGAGCAGAATCTCAGCGCTCACCCCAAGCCTACTAAATTCAAGCCGACATTTTTACCAGGACCTCAGGGGATTTGTTCACACATTCAAGTTCAAGAAGAACTGGTCTTAAGGGACCAGAGCTCTTCCAGAGGGGCAAATAATTTATTTTGGGGTCAGTCACCTCCTTTAGTTGATGAGCTCTGGAGGGCAGAATCCTATCTTCTGAATCGTTGTATCTCAGCACTCAGCAGTAGGAACTCAAAATAAATTTGTTCACCTGCAGTAGCTGATATAACCAAGCGGCCAGGCCACGGGCGCTTACTCCACTAGGTCATGAATAGATCTTTCCTCTCCAGGATTCCCGGGTCTCCTGGAGCAGAGACCACCTTCAATGTGAAAGTTGGCTCAGGCTATGTACAACTCTGCCCAGCTCTGACCATTTCAGAGATGTGGATGATGTGAAGTGCAAGGTCAAGTACATTCAAATGAGCAAGTTTGAGACCAGCATTCTACATATATTTGAATGTCTATGCTCTAACCAAAGTTAGAGCCCTGTGAAAAAAAAATTGGCTAAGCATCCAGCAGTGGACTCCAAAGTGGACCAGCAGGCCGGAGGGGAGGGAGAATGGAAAAGAGGAAGATAATAGGAAGAATGATGTTGGGGGAGGGGGAACCAGGTGGGGCCATGGGACCTAAAATTTGTTTTCTTACTTGCTATCAAAACTTGGAATTTTTCACCCTCGCTCATGGTGTCATTGACATTAAATATCCAATCTTCTCTGGCCCACATCAACTTGAGTAATATCCACAGCCAAGGTTGGCTGCATCTGCTCTCTTCCTCCTTACTCAATTCACGTTAAGAATGCTCACACCACACAGTACTACTGGGATTTTAAAAATGATTTATTTTGCTACACCATTCAGACCTTTGAACCATATTGGATGCTGGGTGCCATGTTGACATAGTAGTGAGGGATAAAAGGGGCATTCAGGGGATTGTGGAATTCTGACTTCCTATAAATCATTAATTTTATTGTAGTAAATAGAGGTCACCTCCTGAAACTTCAAAAGCCTGCCTTGAAAAATGGTATGAAACTATCAGTGTCCATCAAAAGGAAAAACAGGACAAATAAAGGATATTTCCTCAGTTTTAAGCCAAGGCCACTCCAAGAAGACAGCTACTAGGATGAAAGCTATGTTTTTAAATTATTACTTTTGTTAATGTTTGTTTGTTTTGTATTGAGGATTGAACACATGGGTACATTACCGCTGAGCCTCACTCCCAGCCCTTCTTGTTTTTAATTTTGGGACAGGGTCTTGCTAAGTTGCTTAGGGCCTCATAGGTTGCTGAGACTGGCCTCGAACTTGCAATCCTCCTGCCTTAGCCTCCTGAGTCTCTGGGATTGCAGGTGCGTTCCACCATGCCCAGCCATGAAAGTTACTTGTAAGAGATGGACCGGAACTTTCCATTGCTTATTTGAGCAAGTTGTAAATTGTCCCTGCCCCAGATAAGATTAGAAACTAGATGCAAATATGCGGCTAAGTAGCTGGGAGCATGGGTCCTCGGCAGTCAGTTCCCCTGGGAGCTTAGAAGGCCTCGGTCAAAAGGAGAGAAACTCAAGAGCAAACTTCAAAACTGCGTCCACCTTAGGGAGAATAAAAGCAGGCCCACACCACAGCAGGGCACGAAATACAAACACATCTAGGACCAAGATGGAAGGCCCGGGAGCAGCGGGATGTGGGGAGCCTGCGCAAGCTGAGATGCTGGGGTGTGCATTATTCAGTACTTGGCAGTTCCCTTGTTTTGCAGAGGCAATAAGGCAAGCTCAATTTCCCAGCCCGACTTGCAGCCAGGTGTGGCCACCATGGCTCACTTCTGACCTTCAAGATGTTAGTGGAAGTCAATGGAGAGTCCTCCTCTCCTGTTTACAAGGGCAAAGTGTTGCTGGGAGAGATTTTGTCCTTTCCCCCTCTACCAATCTCTCCTCAATTTCCTGTCTGAAGCAGACGCCATGGCTGGATGTGCAGCAGCCATCTTGAGATCCTTAGGACCACGCACCACGTGCTGAAGGCAGCGCAACTGCAAGGTACAGGAGCCTGGGTCCCCGATGGTGGTGCTCAGCTGAGGCACTAGCCCTGGCCTTAAAACCCCTGCATGGGGAAAATTAGTTTCTGACTTTCTATTAAAACACCTAGGGTTGGGGTTTTCTGTGACACACACAGTGATATATTGCCCCCTAGCTCTGGCCATTGTACCTTCATTCTGGAAAAGCTGTGGCCACGCAGGGTACGGTCCTCCCTTGGGGTAACATTGGTACAAAGCAAGCCAATGGGCTAGCCTGGAAGTCTCCAGCTTGGGTGTGTTTGCTGGGATTCCATTGACCAAAAGAAGCTCTGAAGCCCAGCCCAGCAGCCGGGCATAGGGACCTGGGAGTAGCCCACAGGAGGAAGGAGTTTCTGAGTTTTTCTGCCCGGCAGAAACTCAGGCAATCGCCACCATTCTGCAGAGTCCCGGGGAAAGCTGGCCTTCACTGTGGGAAACAGTGCCCCTCTCACCCACTGCCTGATTGCCGAAATGGCCAGTGGTGCCAAGGCATGGTAAGTGGGACACAAAGCCACCAGAGCTGCCTGCAGTCAGGTCACTTCAGAGATAACATCACCCTCTCCTGATACCACACCCTGCTGAGGGTGGTCCACTTCAGCCTCTGGGAGGCAACTGGCAGAAGGTGGGGAGGAGGGTGGGGAGGAATCCCAGCCCCCCCCCCCACAGTGCTCATCTCCTTCCAGCTGGAAGCGGTAGAAGCCGGGCTGGTGACCCAGGTGCCTTATCCTCATTTACATTCTCTCCTCCTCCTCCTCCCACACTCTGGACTGTTCGTCCATCCAGTCGTTCAATCAACAGGTGTTTATTGGTCCTTTATTTCCTACCGCGTCCTGTTCTTGATGCTGCAGAAACAGTGAGAACAGGTTCGCTGGTGCCCTCACCTAGTAGAGGTAGACAGATGACAAGTAAGGAAATAGAATGAGCGGGGACGTCAGGGGAGTGAGAAATAAAGAGGGGAGCAGGGAAGGGAGGAGGGAGGAGGCCCAGCGCGCAGCACCTGCCTCGCCCTTCACGGTGAAGGTCGCCTTTCCGGGCTCTCCCCAGAGCTGTGAGCCGCAGTGGGCTGGACCCCGGTGGATCCAGCCATGGCCAAGGTCAGGGGCACAGCTCCCACAAACACTGCCACGCAGCAGGGGGACGGCTGGCTTTGACCTCATACCACACACCCCAGCTCTGTGAAAAGGAAAGGAAAATTATGATTAAAAAAAAAAAAATTGAAAGAGCTTTCAAAATGGAGGGGAGGGGTGGGCGCCAAAGGAGCAGGATGGTGTGTGATTCCAGCTGCTGCCTGGGGCGTGAGCCTGGGCCACCTCCACCCTGAGCCCCTTGTGGGCATCTGGAAGTTCCAGAACTGCTGGACGATGACTCTGTGCCCAAAGTCTCACCTACGTATCAGAGGTTGTTGATATCAGTCTCAGGTGCTCTGGAGAAGCTGTGGCCTCCCCTGAACCTCTGCAAGGGCTCCATTGAATCTCTATCATTCTGCTGACCCTGAGAATGTGTGGTCTACACCACCACAGCCTCGCACAGGTACAGGAGCACTCATAGTGTCCATCTCCTTCACCCCCTCATCTCTCCTCTTTCTCTTCCACCACAAAGCCCAGTGCCTGCACATCTCTGTCCAGACACTGCATATCTGAGCAGATCCTGTTAGCGCCCGGCCTAGTATTCCAACACATCAAAGGCTGCTCAAATAGATACCCAAGTGTGTCTATATTTTATACGGATTATTATGTACTACATCTCGATAGTTCACTTACGTTATCTATAACTTGGTATTTTTTTTTTATCAGCACAGAGTTATCTCATTCTTTTATTGTCAGCATGATACATCATTTTATAGATACACGGACATCTAGCTAGATAACTTTCAATCTCCTGCATATATCAACTTTGCTAAAGTTATTTCTTTCCACAGGACTTGCAGGTCTTGAGACATGTGCATTTAAAAATTTTTTTTAAGAAATTTTTTTCTAGTTGTAGAAATGGACAGAATACCTTTATTTAATCAATTTATTTATTTTTGTTTATTATTTTATTTATTTTTATGTGGTGCTAAGGATTGAACCCAGCACCTCACACATGCTATGCAAGTGCTCTGCCACTGAGCTACAGCCCCAGCCCACATTTAAATTTAAATTTTGATACCATTCCCAAATTATCCCCGGTAAAGCTTAGACCAGTTTACATCTTCTCACCAGTAAAGTAGGAGTTAGAATTCCATCCTGAAAAGTGAAGAGCTCTGTTTCTGTGGCCAGGTGTGGCCATTCCCTGCCTGGGCCACTCCTCAGCATGTTCTCTCTTCTGTGCCTGGGAGGCGGATGTCAGCATGGGACACCCAGGCTGTGGCACCCCAGGGTGTGAAGGGAGCCCTGGGGCACTTGAAGGAGCGTGGACACACACTCACAGGCCCTCTGCTCACCCCGAGAGTTGGAATCCTGGCTGCCTGCATGTGACTGGGGAGCATCCCGTGGAACTCCTCAAAGGCGAAGCTGGCAAATCAGATTCAATGGGGAGGGCTGAGGGGGATATGTGCATTTCTCTTGGTGGAGTCCCTTGAAATTTAATGGTGACAAATATGTCATGAGTGCTCACTGTGTGCCTGGTAGAGCTAAATGGTTTCCTCTCATCACCCCACCCTGTATGGAGGAGGATGTTCTTATTCCTGTTTCTTAACAACACCGAAGAGATGCTAATTGGCCACGCTTTAGGAGAGGCAAGCCCTCCAAGGCTTGGTTGGTCCCTATCACCCCGAGGGCCCTGGTTAAAATCCTGGTGCTCTCTCTTTAGCAGGATAACCTTGGGCAAGTTGTCTTTTCTCTTTTCAGTGGTTCACTTGCCTCCTCTACGAAATGGAGACATGGTTGTAAAGTTGAAATGCGTAAATGGGTAGAAATACCCAGCACAACTGGGCCCTCCATCTCCGTCTACCTCTTCAAGTTGGGATTTGAATCTCAGTTTATTTCACTGTTTCCTCGGGATCCAGTCCATTCTTAAGATTTGAAGAAAATAAACGGAAAGAGAAAAAGCAAAGTTTTATTCCTGAAGTAAGTGCTGTTTGAAGTGTTGCTGGATCCACCCTCACCCAAGCTGTGGGGCTCGCTGGAGGCTCCAGGCTCGACTCCCTCCATCGCTGTGAGCAGTGATCAGCGGCCAAGGGAGCACAGGTCTGCACCCCCCAGGATGCTCCTCTGCAGAAAGCCAAGATCTCTGCCTTCTAGAACTGTTCCATTCACAGCATCTGGCCGCTTGAAAGAGAAAGTAAAAGAAGAAGAGGGAGAAGAAACCACAGCCATGTAGCATGAACGTAATTCCTAATCTAACTGATACACTCGCGTTTTCTTCATGTAACAGGAGCCAAATTTAAACATGTCAACATCTGAACCATTGCTGATTTTTCAAGTGCTGTATGATGCATCTGGCGGCCGCTCATTGAATGTTCTTCAATGATGGTGACGTAAATGTATTTACTCAAATATAGCATATTGAAAAAGCAGATAGTAGTATATTGTGATGTCCTTTGTTTGTGTTTGCATACATTGGGGGCTCTCTGAAATATGTGGATTGAGATTTAAAAGATGTGGCTATGTTTTTAAATGTTCAAAGGATCATAATCAGAGAGCTTACCAGCCATCAGTTCATTCCCCCTCATCTTCAACATAAGAAAACAGCCCAAGGTTAGTCTGATAAGGAGAGAGGAGAGGGGGAGTCAAAGGACCCTGGACCCCAGCAGCGAGATGCAGAAGCTGGAGCAGCGAATTCTGGAATCCAGAGAATGGAGCCTCCCCTCCCCTGCTCTCTTCTGCCGTGACCTTCTGGAGAGCCGGCAGATGCAGCTGCTGACCACGCAGGGCCTCTCTTTTCCTTCTCCTTTCAGTTTGCTCCGAGATGGGGATAGCGCACCCGAGGATGAGGAAGGGCTCTTGGGATCCAGGCCCCTAGACGGGAAGGGAAGGAAGCAGGGCGGGGCGAGGGGAACGCCGGGTTGTGGGGCAGTCCAACCAGCCCCGGGATGTGTCAGGAAACGAGGATGTGCCCTCAGAATTGCCAAGCCGAGGTGAGGGGGTTGGCATGGATGACCCCACACTCACAGCCCTTAGGTGCTGGGCACCCCAGGTGAGGCAGGTCTCTGCAGCCCAGGAAGCTGCTAAACTGCCAGATGCCCACCGCAGCAGGACCAGGCCTGGCACACAGTGGGCTGTGACTCAGTGGATATCTGTTGAGTGGAAAAGCCGTGGGACAGATCTGTGAGGGACAGAATGAGTTGTCACCTTCATGGTGTGACTTAGGGACATTAAGAATCAGAATGTGCTCTCTGATAAGCAGATGCTGACTCACAATAAGAGGGGGGAGTTCAGTGGATTAGACAAAGGGGCATGCAGGGAAGGGAATAGCAAAGACAGTAGAATGAACTGGACACAACTGTCCCATGTTTATATGTGAATACACACCAGTGAAGCTCCACACCACGGGCCACCACAAGAATGGGAAGTTATTCTCCATGTAGGTACGACATGTTAAATACACTCTACTGACCTGTATAACAAAAAAAGAACACATAAATTTTTTTTTAAAATTTAAATCAATTCACTCAAGACAAAATACAACTCCTTTCTACTGCCTCAATAGTATCTGAAGTTTCTCAAATTTCCCAGGCAAGAGAGGTGTTCCTAAGCAAGGGCCAGTCCTCAGATGTGCAAGTCTGAGACACAGCTCACAGTGCTATGCTCAATACCTGGCTCCATTCCATTTTCATATGCAAATCTCGGTTTGCAGCGCCTGGGCGTGATGCATAATGCAAGGGACTTTTGGACTTGACATCCCGTTCCAACGTGCAGTTCCCGGATGCTTATGTTTGAGCATTTATTTTAATTTGCATGTTTCCAATAGCTGCCTCTACTCATTGCAGAACAGGGCAAGCATGAATACACACGTACTGTGCATTTATCATCTTCTCACAACCCTCGCTGGTCTGGGACTCAGTCTCACTGACATGGTCTTTCTTATGGGGTGGCCTCAAAGATGAGATGTGGTCAGCAGGATCACTCTGGGGTCTTTGACCCGATGTCTTCACTTTGGAACACCCTCTTTTGTTCAGCAAATCTATGGTTGTCCTGCCTTTAGCCTTCAAAGAACATTCCTTATAAGGACTAGTTGTGTGAATTTATATGGCATGTAACTTTATGTCCTGGATGTAGTTGTTTATTAAAAATGGGACTTCAAAGCACTCCTGTTGGGGCTGGTGATAGAGGTCAGTGGCAGAGCACTGATGGAACATGTGAGAGGCCCTGATACAGAAAAAACAAGGACAAATAACAAACAAAACCCAAAAAAAACCCACACCTGTTGCCCTTGAAACATAAACAGATATTTTCAGTTACAATTTCTAGTGATTTGGCTTAAAAAAATGCCAATATTCAGATCCTTTGGGACAAGGGACAACGGTTCCCTCCCCCTAGTCTCTGCATAGATGGCATTGGGCTTACCCCGTATGGTTTACAGGTAACCCTGTGGATGGCTTAGATGTGGCTCGTCCTCTAAAAGTTCATGTGCAAGGGGTTGGGTCCCACGCATAGTGATGTTCTGTGGTGGAAACTTTAAGTGAGGCCCCAGAAAGGCCCCTAGGTCACGAGTCTCCACCCACGAGTGGAGAAATGCTGTCCGCCAAGAACGAGTCCTTAGGAAGCCAGGGCAGCCTGCGTGCCTGGCCTCTTGGCACGCACGGCCAGTTCTCTTTGTGCTTTTCCATCATGTGGTGATGTCGCCAGGGGTCCTCGCCGGGATGCTGGCGCCACGCAGTTATCCAGCCTTGGGGATTTTGTTAGAGCCACCCCAAAACAGACTAAAGCACCTGCCTTTGAGGAGACAGCAGCGATGACATTGTCAAAGTCAAGATGTCCTTTACGAAGGCTGCTGCCATCAGAGTTGATGCAGGCAGCAGGTTTAAGATGAGCAATAAAGACAAGTCAAGTCAGCCGTGAAGGGCGTTGTTAGGCCTCCTATTGTTGAATAGGATTAAAATAGTACCATGAAGGATTCATCCCAAGTTGCAGCCCCTGCCATATACTAGGCTTTGGGAACAGACCCGACTGTGGCCCCGTGGCTGCTGGGGCTCCCGTGGGATTTTCCATCTGCACAGAAAAATGTGCACTACTTGAACCCAGGGTCAGTGCAGAAGTGCTGATCCCTCAGGCCTACAGCTGGCTACAGACTTTGGAGAGCTTTCAGTCCTCTGGAGCATGGAAGCTTCCCTTCATGGTTTATTTGTTCATGTGTTTACCTAGTCATTCAACAAGGACCTGATGAAACCCTGCAGTGACTCAGGCACAGGTAGTGGGACAGGCAGAGAAGGAGAATGACACAGGTGTGGACTGCGTTAGGATGGAGGTAGCACAGAGCAGTGCAGGCCTCAAGAGAACCAGCACTCGTCCCCCAGGAAGATGACCCCGGCCGATGACCGGTGTGCGTGATGCTTTCTCAAGAATGGCTCACTGGAGGGGTGGAGGAAGCCTGGGACTCTGGAAGCACGCAGTTCGTGTGGCTGGAGTCGAGCAGTATGATGACACAGTTGGATTTTCGCTTTTAACAGATCAATGATCCGGGGAAGAGATCATTGCCACGTGAACTTGGGCCATGATGGAAGTGGGTACACTCCAAAGACGCTTTAGAGGCAGAACTGCCAGACTGGGTGATCCTCTGGCCAGACCCTAGTGGTGGGAAACTGGGGGCCAAAGACCGTCTGGGTGCAGGGTCTCACTGCCAGAGCCCCCTCGGCCATGGGGCAGAGTGTACCTGAAGGAACACCTGTTCCCTGGAAATGATTTGTGATGGGGATAAGAACTCAGGATGAATTTGCTTAGGGGAAAAAAAATGCAAAAAGGCATTCCAAATTGCTGGCCCCTTAATCTCTGGCGTTTCTCTAAATTGGCCCAAGGCTGCTCCGACTCTGGCCCTGATTTCTATTGTAAGCCGACTTAATTCTGAGCAGTGGAGATGCATCGCTCTCGGGAAGCAGGCTAAGTCATCAGTTTCAGCCCTTAATCAGGTGCTTAGCAGAGAAGCAGGCCAGCTCTGGGAACGTGTGCAAATGAGCTCCGTAAACAGCAAAGGGCTGGACATGGCAAGGTTCGAGGAAGCAAGCTGGTCCCCTTTGTGCTCTGTGTGTGGGAAGGTAAGACTTGGTATTAACTTGCCCCAAATATATTTATTGAGCAACTACTACATGATGTGCACAAGAGGTAGATCATATAATTTATGTATCTCTTCACTTTTGATCCCTGGCATGGCCTGGAAGAGAGAAGGTCAACATTTTCTGTGCTGTGAAATGAGCCTCAAACCCCTGCAAGTACATCCAGGCATCTCAGTGCACCCCATCCTATTATGGCGGTTCCAACCACAAGCTTTGGAGTCGGGCCTGAGTTGTTAAAGCTCCAATGGATCACTTACCGGCTATGTGGTTCTTGTCA